CTTGATTCCATGCCTCAAAAAGGTCCTGGACAAACTCATCATACGCATGCAAATCCCAAGGAATACCAGGCACAAAAACAGGGGCACTTACATGAAATTGGAATGGCATGCTTTCATGAGGCTGCTCAGGCAGGTCAATACCACAAGTCAGAGGTGCACTTGAACGCATTTGAGTACCATCCTGCATGAGTAAGAGAGCATCAGGTTCAACCGACTCAGGCTGCAATGAAGGAGGAACAAGGTCCCAATCAACAATATGCAGCTCGAAATGTGCTCCATGCCTTGGGTAGAATAATCGTTCTTCATCAAGTGAGTCACTTCCGAAGAAGCCTACGCAAAGAGCACTGCGATCTTGACATTCCCTCTGAAAGCCTCCCAGCCTTGTTAAATCATCAAAAGCAAGCTGGCGAGGGGTCACGAATGCCCCTTGAGAATGTCTTTGAGAACTACCAGCATGCAAAAAGGTGCTAAGCAATATCCCTCTGCTGCCATGGTCAATGGCCTGATGCACAAGTACATGAATCAAAGATGCTTGTCCACTCTCAGGATGCACTATACTTACTTCGAAGTTTTGTCTCGGATGAATCTTATCTCTCCAGAGTGTTCGGATTTGCCCGTCCCACTCCGATCGCTGTGGGAATAGAGTGAGCATTCTCGGGCTGTCACAGCTCGTCCAGAGAGTGCCATGTACAAACCAGGTCATGAAAGTGACTGCCGCTTCATCAAAGGATGCAGCGAAGACTGGGGACACTTGATGCCATGCTTCGTACAGTCCTTCTAGATGATGTCCATCGATATTGGGCTGGTCCAAACGCAGGTTGGCTACAGGTGCTGCAAGGCTACATTCTTGTGGCTCAACTTGATCATCACTCAATAAGCGCAGAGTGCGTTTCAACGTCCTCTGCAGGTTTTGCGATTGGACTGATAGCAATTGCAATTCATCGGTGTCATCCTCTGCGTTGTCACGACCGGCATCTCCGCGCCGCTGTTGCAGGCCTACCAGGTCCGTGCTACGCTGTGTTGGATCCAGGCGGCTGGTCGGAATACGAATCAGAACACTGAGTCCATCTTGAACTCTGATGTCATCATCAGCATGAAATTCTCTGGCTCCTACCCATGTGGTGCAACCAGGTGCATTGCAGAGGTCTTGCATTTGAGCAGCTGCTATAAGTTGAGGCTGTGTCACGACCGGGTCAACTGACAGCGCAGTTGCGCGCTTGTGCCTTATGTCATGTGAATCCGGCAATGCCGTGACAACGATGGCAGCTTTGCGAGGCATCGGGTGCTGGACCACAAGGACAGTGGCGACCGTGCCTTCATAAATCGTTGGTGGTGGATCAGGTCTCACAATGAAGATGTCAAGAGATGCACTTTGATCTACGAAATCTTCCCACATAAATCGCACACTTGCCTCCCATGATTCATGTTCAAGATCAAACCTCAATGGCCTCATGACAGAATTCTGTGGAGTGCGCAAATGCGAGATGAAGTAGGAGTTGACATATATAAAGGGTCCTTCTTCTTCCATTTCAACAGCCCCTGCTTCACAAAGCAAATCCCAAATTTCATGATGCCAAATTGGACTCTCCACCCTGGGCGGCCTGCCCGGTGGATCAGGCACTGGATTGCTTTCGGATCCCGTGAAGAAAGTGAAAGGTTCATTGATGCTGTTCACTCGGGGCTGGCAGGCAAATGGTCGACAGTCGCCGGAGATACACACGGCCTGTGTAGACAGCGGATCAGCGTCGGCATGACTGTGACGGCAAATGTGATGAAAGTGTGAAATCTGGACACTACTTACAAAATCGGATTCGAACATGCTTTCTTCAAGTTCAAAGGAAGAAACATCAGAATCACATGCAGAACCCTCCTCATGTCCTCCAATAATTATCTTCAAGAAATCACCGTCTTCAAGATGCATGGGACTGATCTGGCCATCCGGAATGAGCACATGATTGTGCCAAAGGCGGCTGTGCTCCCTATGCGCATTAAAGAGTGATTCAAGATCTAAGAGTCGGAAAGCCGAAACTCGATTCAAAGTCAAGGGGAGCCATTTTGAAAAGCGGCGGAAGGCTCCTGGCAAGACTTCATTTGGTTCATACAGCTCCAAATCAATCAAGACCAAGCGAACGAAAGAGGAAGGTCTGTGCTCATCCTTCACTTGCAAAAGTAAACATTGTAGGTCTTGTTGGAGCAAGTCACTGGGCCGATTGGACACATGATGTATCCCCAGCAATTCAGTGTTTTCGACGCCAATGGTCTGTGAAATTTGGGCGGCCAACTCTTCACCATCGTGCCATGGTAGACGGGCTGGCAGCATACGTCCATTCAGAAGGACAAGCACAGTTTGTCTCCATGAGGAAGATGAACCACTGGAACTGGTCATGGATGTCGCCGATGATGTGGCAGCTTCAGACGATGTGGCCCCATCTGAAGGAACTTGCCGCCCGGGACGACGTGCCATGAGAAAAGTGTGGTCTGCTTCCTCCGGCTCCTGTACTTCAAAAGTCTTTGGTTTCGCTCGAACTGCCCATGGTTTTTCCTCCCATGAAGAGAGCGTGACATGATTCATCGAAACCTGCGAGAAGAGTGAGTCATCTGCCAAACCCATGCGGATGACAACCTCATCATCAAAGGTCACCTTGCCAGAACTGCGGCCACGTCGCAATGGAAGTGCAAAAACATCAATCACCAGCTTCTCCTCATATCCCACTTCGGCAGCTAATGTTGACGCATGTATCTGCGCTTGCCATTCGTTCAAAAAGTCGCGTTCCTGAAGGATTGAGTGGCTCCAGTGTAGCCGGACCGCAAGGGGGTCCATGGTTGGAAGGAGCATTGGCCCCTGGCGATCGTACGCATTTGTCACGTATCGCCGGCCTTTCGAAAAGACGACCCTTCGGCCGCTGCTGTCTCTTCGTTGCCCATCGAGGTTCTCGGACGTTTCACACGCTGCTCGAGAAGATCCGCTGAAGAGGAAAGTTCCTCTAAGCTGGCAACAATTGAGCTCATGCCGTCGTGGATCTTTTGCGCGCTCTCTTCCTTGGAGTCCACTGTCATGTCTTCCGCAGCCTCGTCCTCTTCGTCGGAAACAGGCCAAGGCTCTTCTTTGCCAATGTGTTCCCTTTTGGAAGCCAGATCGAAACTGCGTTGAGCTCGTCGCACTGCTAGGCGTGCTGCGTGGACACTGGCCTGGTGGGCTGAATCTGATGCCTGGAAGTTCATGGTAAATTCCTTCCATTTGACAACAGACTGTTGCAAGAAATGCTTCCATTGCGACAGCAATTGGACTCTGGCGTTTTCCGCCTCCAGTAGCTCGTCTTTTGCATCTCCCAATGCCCGGACAGCTGAATGGAGTCCTCTCATATTGCTCTTCTCGTCTTGCTTTTTCATTTCGTGCGCCATCGACTGAAGGTTGGGGGACAAAGTGTCCTCTTCTTTTTTCAACTCCTTCAGCAGGCGATTCAAATTCTTCTGTGCTTTTCCCTCCTTGGCAGCATCTTCCTGTTGGGCCGGAACTGTTGGCGCCGCCGGTGCCACAGGAAACGGCATCATAGGCATGGCTGAGTTCAAGATGCTTGAGCTCCTGTCGATGCTGGCATCGCCGATGTGGCCGGCATGGGTGGCGGTGGAGGAACCATTACCACAGGGTTGGCGACCCCCTTGCCCTTCCCCTTGTCCATCATAGGCGGTTGCATCTGGGCTGGCATCATTGGCTGCTGCATGGGGGCTGTCATCATGTGTTGAGGATAAGGCATCATCATAGGCATCATAGGTGGTAAGGGTACCTGTTCCTGTCCTTTGCCAAAGCCTTTGCCTTGATGTTGATCGCCTCCTTTCTTCTTGCCACGCTTGGATTGCCCTTTGCCTCGAGAGCGTGGACTTCTCGAGCCACTGCCTTGTGATTGCCATGAGGACCCATTCCACGGAACCTGATGCCCGGTCTGCTGGTCGTAGGCCTGCTTGTACTCGGGCGGCACAAAAGAAGTGTCGTTGCACTGGTTCCATTCGGATCCACATTTCCAACACCTGGGAAAAGTTCCTTTCATCACTACATGGCAGTGGCCACACCTCCAAGAAGGATGTTTCTTCGTCATTGCTGCTCTGGAGGCTGCAAAAATAGAACGAAGTAAATGCAAATCCTTTGAATGGTGTCGGCTGAGCTGGGAATAGATCTTCAGGAGCTGGGCTGAGGTCAAAGGCCGCACTCCCTTCCTGTGAAGGAACCAACCAAGTCGGGCTCTTGCTCTTTGTCGCCTTTGTGCTCTCCTTTGGGCAGCAGACCAGAAGGTCCTCAAAACAAAGGGTTGAGCCACTATCTACGATATTGCACTTGCCCTCTCCAAGCAAGATCACAAAGACCAAGACAAGGATGTAGTGAAGGCACCGTGTCATACACCAGGAAGTACACGTAGAAGGCCAAGGAGCCAAGGTGATGCTTCAGTAGAAGCAGAGCACTAGTGCACCCGGGAGTTTTACGTCGCCGGGACGACGATGCCAGAGAAAATGCTAAGGCGGCCGCGAAGTTGCCAAACGCAGCAGCCCGCGGGACAGCTATGGCTCTGCCCCGCTAAGGTGATCACGCTTCGCGGGGAGTTTGGATCCCGCCAAAGCCGAAACCTTATATACACATATATACATATATACATATGTACATATGTACATATGTACATATGTACATATATACATATATACATATATACATATATATATATATACATATACATATATACATATATACATATATACATATATACATATACACATATACACATATACATATACACATACACATACACATATACATATACACATATACATATACATATACGCATATACATATACACATATACATATACATAATTATATTAAATATTGTTATACACTTATTTAAATAAGTTTAAATATATAATTACATTATATGTCGTATCATAAATGACTTTGCAAATGGCTGTTCTAAGATGTTCTAAGCACTGCGCAGCATTGTTGTGCAGCCATGACACACAACGGCAAGAACACTTCGGCCAGACAGGTCTGCGATGCTTTGGGCATCCTTTCAGTGAATTGTGGGCAAAGCTGGAATCGAAACACATGGAAACGCTGAAACTGACAAGCAAACAACATCAAACAACAAAAAGTCATCAAAAATCCTAGCATTTCCCGAATAAAACTTGCCTAGGTGGATTCCAAATGTCCTCAGAGTTGCAGTGTGCGTACCTTGACTTCTTCGCCTTCAGCTGAGTCCAAGAAGAGGGACAAAGAAAGCCTTGGCTGCCAAAATAATCAGCACATCATCTAGATTCATCTAGTCATCTACAGAACACACATTCTCTATGTTGATTTCTTGGGGCTGTCACTTCTTTTCACCTTTTTGCAGACTCCTTTTTGACTCATTGATACTCGTCACCAAATCCGAGTAAGTTCACTTAGTTCGAGATAGTTCGAGTCCCATGAGTCCCATGAGTCCCAGACCCGTCCAAGTTCAGCGCTTCGAGGATTCGACTTCTGACGTCCAAGACCTTCTCGCTGGCATCACCGGTCACACTGCCTTCAACGCCACTCATCATGGACACCTCCCGGTCAAGCGGTTGCAACCGGATGCTATGGCACAGCTGCAAACAAAAAAACTGGCAATGGCACAGCATATGAGGTTTACGTACATCATCGTACATCATCGTGCATCATCGTACATCATCGTACATCCAAATGAGATCACATAGGAGATGGAGTGATGTGAGCAATGTCAAATTTTATCATGTGCCAAAAGGTTCTGGGAGTTCTAGAGCGCGGTGTTCTTGTCCTTTGCCTTTTGGATAGTGTGCTGTCAACTTTCAAGCTTCAACTCGGTTGTTTATTTCCCAGGCCTCGCAAAAACTGCTTTTCACTTTGGTAAATGTTCATGTATTTTCCTGGCTCGCATGCCTCACTTTTGTAAAAGCACATGACCATCACTGTTGTTGCTAGGATATCATCTTCTGCATGAGACCCGAACCTGCAGTGTGCGACTCCAAATGAATGCATGACATGAAATTAATTGATGACTCAAATTGATGACTAAGTCCAAGAGTCACAAGTTATACCATATAAACCTAAACTTGTTCATATTGGCAGCTCAAAACCTAGTCGCCTCCAACACACTGTTTGTATTGGCTTGCAATTTGGCCTCTTCATTTCAACTAATCATGGCGCGTCTCTATAGAACGGCGCCTTGAAGGAGACTTGACTCTCGCTCATCGCTCAAAGAAGTGATGGGCTGCAGAGATAAGAGGGGTCGCTTGAGCAGTTCTATAGATAGTGCCGGGCAGGCAAGCATGATGAGCCACGAAGTGCAGGGTACACATTGAACACCTTGCAGATTTCATCCAAGCGCACTTTCATGTCTGTTAAATGCGTCCTTAATGAGACCTGGAGTATCCTGTGGCTAACACATGTTTCCAAAATGCGGTTTTAAACAAAAATGTCTTGACGCATCAGGGAATCTGATTGTCTTGACGCCAATCAGTGGATCGATGGCATCCAGGAGCCCCTACCCTTTGCTCATGTAGTTATCTCCAGAAGTGACGTCAGCACCTGCCATAGAGGAGTAGAGGCCTTAGCCCAGCGGAGACCGAGCATGATTCTCCCTACAGCACGAACCACAGCTCCAGTTCTTATTATAGATATTTATAGACAATATATACATTGCCATATACTACTATGAGATCCTTATACCATCTTATACCGCCCTTCAGGTTGGAACAAGTGGTGACTTGTTGTGTTAATGTTAATGTTGCTAATAATTTGTTGACTAACCGATGTGTGTCTACTGAATTGTGTGCTCTTTAGGGTTTGGAGAGATATTTTGTCGAGCAAACGATCGCAGGAATTATTCAGTCCAATCGAAGCATCAGCGTCCAGTTGACAAATGTATATAAGCATGAAAGCCAACCATCCCACTAGTTGTAAAGAAAACTCGGGCAAGTTTACAAGTGGGCATGTCCCCTGCCTGTTCTGCTCACCTGCTAAATACATCTAAATACAACACACCTGAGGAACCCAGGCTCACATACTGATCGTAGTTGGCTTGAGGCCCACCGTACCTCATTTCGCGGCGTCTTCAAACTTATACCAGGCAGTTACAATCAATTCACCTGCTGAGTGGTGCCTACTTTGCGATGCTGCATTTTCAACCACGAGCGCAGGTCCATACCTAAGCAACATCAAGCGTACTTTTTACATATCCACATATATTATGCAAGTGACATCTTGCGTGTACAAAGTGTGTAGTGTGCAAATGAAATTAATAATTATATACAATACATATATACATATATACTATATATATATATAATGTATCATATAATTACTGTACAATCCAACACATTCTACCACTGCTCGCTCCGGGCACTCGCTGAGATACTTCTGGTAGTCTGCAGACTTACCTGAAGCTGCGACGGGTGGTCCCTTTGGCAGGTGACATGGTGGCCGCGTTTCCTGTTTTGAAGCTACAAAGGAGACACGTGTCATGAACGGAAACAGAACCAGCTGCAGCAGGGACAACCATTGAAAGTCAAACTTCGGATATTGCACACGAATTTCACAACTTTTTACTGAACAAGAGGAATAAAGAAGAAGACAAGGTATATAGCAATTCCCAGACCGTAGTGCTATGTAATTGCCTAGTCAAGTCTTTTTTTTTCTGACGAACTCAATTTGCATTGCCAGGTTCCGCAGAGCTCGAGAACATCCTTGCTTTGAAGGCAGTGCCAACAAGCGACGCTTCTTCGTTCGCTTGTTCTTGAGCTCAAAAGTTGTGCCACACAGTACAGAAACCTACGGATGCTTTAAAGCAAAGGATGCCTAAGCAAGACAGCTGGGGGCAGCGTCTCTGCTCATTCCAATAATGGCGGATTCAGGATGATAATCCCTCCTCGATGTGGAGAACCAATTGAACCAGCTCCGCATCGCCACCAACGAGGCAAAGACCACCAGAATCACAACGAGATACAGAGCAGTGCTTCCATTGCCTCGCGCAAAAATGCCCACTTGAGCCGATGGTTCTCCACCATGTTGTCGGATGAAAGCTGCTAAAGCCTTCACTCCCGCGAATTGCTCTTTGCCAACGTTCTGGATTTGGGTGGCTGGCAAGCAAGAGCTGTGACCTTCAAGTTCAATGGTCATAGTAGCTCGGATTCCTAGAAACCCGTATGCCCAGTCAGGGCCAGTGCCAGGATTAGGAAGGAACACATCTGCTCCTGCATTGAACGTGCGCCCCGATGTGTTGTAGAATGCTTCGTTGATAAAGCTCGTCAAAGACGTCTGGTATGAGCCATCAGGATCTGCCGGGGTCTCTGCAGTATACGCCCATGGTGGTAGCATTGCCTCGCCGTAGGAATGATAGTCAATGAAGGCGGCTACATAACCGGCTCCAGCTTTCGAGTTGGACCGCCAGTTCTGCTGTCTTTCCTTCATGTACTCTGAAGCCGCCTTGGTCTCCGGTTCCGAGAATGCCTCAGGGCCTATAAAGAATTCTGAACATGGATTGTGCAATTGCAATTCGTAGGGAGCATCGTTAGTCTGGCCGAAGGTAACGCCCCAGTTGCGATTGGCATCCACGCCAGCCACGGCTCCATGACACAAATAGTTGCTCCGATTGCTCCGTGTTTTGCGCCACATGCGATTCACCTCCCAGGAATAGACATAGCCATCAGGGTTGACTGGGACCAGCAGTGTGAAGAGGAAGTGCTGCAGCATGCTCTGCACATCAGCGCTTGCATCTTGCATTAGTGAACCTGCGATGTACAACACTGTCGATGTAGCAATCCATTCCCGCGAGTGGATGCCACCCTCGAGGAAAATGCAAGGCTTCTCTGCCACATTTCCACTTGGGCTGGTGATCTCCAGGACCTTCAGCGGCCTGCCCTGCCAGGATCGGCCGATCTCACGCAGAGTCACCAGATTTGGGTGCTGCTGTGCAAGAAGATCAATATATCGGTGGATATCATCCAATGTGCGGTAGTCCTGAAAGAACTCTGTCAGCTGTCCTGACCAGGGAGTCGGTGGAGGCTTGGTCTCTTGATTCGGCAAAGTGCAATTATTTCCAATCCAAGGAGTAGTAGCAAAGAGCTGACGGGCACGAGGTGCCATGCCGTGTGCTACGCTGACAGTTGCTGCTACCGTGCCGGCTCAAGCAACTAAAAGGTGCTTGAGCCAAAATGGCTACGGAGCCTAGTCAAGTCATATCAAATCAATCGATTTTTGTATCACCAAGCAGCTAGACTCATCTGCAGGAGATTGGATCAAACTACGTATATATATATATATATATATATGTATCAAACTTACAATAAACTTACATAATGCAACCGCATTTATTACCCAATACGAGGCATAAGCCTGTTGGCTTCGCTTCCTACAACGATTCCAGTGGCACCTGTGCCTGTGCCCCTGTCGAATTCACTGAAAGAAAGGCTCGGAAAGGCTCGGAAAGGCCCGCACCAGAATATTGGCTCATGTAGTGACGCCAAGACCTAAATCGATAACGGATGAATCTCCACTGCCCAAGTTCCGCCCAGCGTAGGTATCAACAGAGGGGAATTCTACTAGACGACGGATGGCCCGAGAGCGTAGAGGAGCAGAGTCTTCTGTTGTTAGTATGGAGACACGCTTTTTACACACAGGCTCTTTTACACACAGACGCTTTTACACACAGAAGCTTTTACACACAGACGCTTTTACACACAGACCCTTTTACATACAGACGCTTTTACACACAGACGCTTTTTACACGCAGGCGCTTTTACACACAGAAGCTTTTACACACAGACGCTTTTACACACAGACCCTTTTACACACAGACGCTTTTACACACAGACGCTTTTACACACAGACGCTTTTTACACAAACACTTTTACACGCAGACGCTTTTACACACAGACGCTTTTTACACACAGGCTCTTTTACACACAGAGACTTTTACACACAGAGGCTTTTACCCGCAGAGACTTTTACACACAGACGCTTTTACACACAGACGCTTTTACACACAGACGCTTTTACACACAGAGCCTTTTACACACAGACTTTTACACACAGACGCTTTTCCACACAGAAGCTTTTACACACATACACTTTTACACACAGACGCTTTTACACACAGACGCTTTTACACACAGAGGCTTTTACACACAAACACTTTTACACACAAACACTTTTACACACAGACGCTTTTACACACAGACGCTTTTCACACAGAAGCTTTTACACACAGACGCTTTTACACACAGACGCTTTTACACACAGTCTTTTACACACAGACGCTTTTACACACAGACGCTTTTACACACAGACGCTTTTACACACAAACGCTTTTTACACATAGGTTCTTTTACACACAGACGCTTTTACACACAGACGCTTTTACACACAGACGCTTTTACACACAGACGCTTTTACACACAGACGCTTTTACACACAGAACGCTTTTACACACAGACGCTTTTTACACACAGACGCTTTTTACACACAGACACATTTGACACACAAACACATTTACACACAGAGGCTTTTACACACAAACACTTTTACACAAACACTTTTACACACAAACCCTTTTACACACAGACGCTTTACACACAGACGCTTTGACACACAGACGCTTTTACAGACAGACGCTTTTACACACAGAGACTTTTACACACAGAGACGCTTTTACACACAGAGACTTTTACACACAGACGCTTTTACACACAGACGCTTTTACACACAGACGCTTTTACACACAGACGCTTTTGCACACAGTCTTTTTCACACAGACGCTTTTACACACAGACGCTTTTACACACAGACGCTTTTACACACAGACGCTTTTACACACAGACGCTTTTTACACACAGAGACTTTTACACACACAGACGCTTTTACACACAGAAGCTTTTACACAGAGACGCTTTTACACACAGACACTTTTACACACAGACGCTTTTACACACAGACGCTTTTACACACAAACGCTTTCTACACACAGGGGCTTTTACACACAGAAGCTTTTACACACAGACGCTTTTACACACAGACACTTTTACACACAGACGCTTTTACACACAGACGCTTTCTACACACAGGGGCTTTTACACACAGACGCTTTTACACACAGACACTTTTACACACAGACGCTTTTACACACAGACGCTTTTACACACAGACGCTTTTACACACAGACGCTTTTTACACACAGGCGCTTTTACACACAGACAAGTCCGGCACAAGTAAAATCGCAATTTTACCCCATCGTTTTCGTGCGAAAGGGTTGCGATCGCACCTCAGTCATTTTTCGTGCGAAAGGGTTGCTCGGGGGCAAGTAAAGTCGCAATTTTTCCTCAGTTTTTGCCGATCGACCCTCATTTCGTGCGAAAGGGTTGCTCCGGCACAAGTAAAATCGCAATTTTTCCTCAGTTTTTGACGATCGACCCTCATTTCGTGCGAAAGGGTTGCTCCGGCACAAGTAAAATCGCAATTTTTCCTCAGTTTTTGACGATCGACCCTCATTTCGTGCGAAAGGGTTGCTCCGGCACAAGTAAAATCGCAATTTTTCCTCAGTTTTTGACGATCGACCCTCATTTCGTGCGAAAGGGTTGCTTTAGCACAAGTAAAATCGCAATTTTTCCTCAGTTTTTGACGATCGACCCTCATTTCGTGCGAAAGGGTTGCTCCGGGACAAGTAAAATCGCAATTTTTCCTCAGTTTTTGACGATCGACTCTCATTTCGTGCGAAAGGGTTGCTCCGGGACAAGTAAAATCGCAATTTTTCCTCAGTTTTTGACGATCGACCCTCATTTCGTGCGAAAGGGTTGACGTTTCGTGACTCGCCGCCGGCACCACCCTCGGCCTTAAGAGAGAAAGATAAAGAAGGCGAGAGAGAGAAAAAGGGGAGAGAAAGGAGAGAAGATGTGGAGGTGAGAAGATGTGAGAGAAGGTGTGAAGATGAGCAGACGTGAAGATGAGCAGATGTGAGAGAAGATGTGAAGATGAGCAGATGTGAGAGAAGATGTGAGAGAAGATGTGAGAGAATATGTGAGAGAAGATGTGAAGATGAGCAGATGTGAGAGAAGATGTTAGATGTGAGAGACGGTGTGAAGATGAGCAGATGTGAGAGAAGATGTTAGATGTGAGAGAAGGTGTGAAGATGAGCAGATGTGAGAGCAGATGTGAGAGAAGATGTGAAGATGAGCAGATGTGAGAGCAGATGTGAGAGAAGATGTGAAGATGAGCAGATGTGAGAGAAGATGTTAGAGAAAATGTGAGAGAAGATGTGAGAGAAGATATGAAGAAAGATGAGCAGATGAGAGAAGATGTGAGAGAAGATGTGAGAGAAGATATGAAGAAAGATGAGCAGATGAGAGAAGATGTGAGAGAAGATGTGAGAGAAGATATGAAGAAAGATGAGCAGATGAGAGAAGATGTGAGAGAAGATGAGATGAGCAGATGTGAAGATGAGCAGATGTGAGAGAAGATGTGAAGATGAGCAGATGTGAAGATGAGCAGATGTGAAGATGAGTAGATGTGAAGATGAGAAGGTGTGAAGATGAGAAGGTGAGATACAGACCCCCACTATTGGAAGAACCCTGCGCTCAGACGCTCTCGGGAATGAAAAGAACCATTAAGCAGAAACATGCAGAAACTATGGAAAACACGTGAGAACACACAGAACAGGGCCGACGCGGCGACAGTGGCACTCGCGTCATTATATAATCATATAATATATAATCAACATTACGTATGTTCCCTCATCCCATCTTTAACCCCACACAGGGAAAACCCTCTGCACAGTTCTGCTGCCTTGCCAGGCTTCACTTCACATCATGATCTCCAGGAAGCCACCATTGGCCAACTACACTTACCCTTCCATTATATTCCATTACAATGTTTTAGTCGAGTAATACATCTAATAGATTCTAATAGATTCGAATAGTAGATCATGTAATACCATTGGGTACTGCATGGTACTGCACAAGGTGCACCTGACCGTGAGGTACCTCAGTTCCCAGCGAGTTTTGGCCCACCCAACTTTCAGTGTAGTGCTCGTCCCCCGGGGGCAGGTACGACCTGGCACTGTGGGCCGCACTGTGTCAGTCCAAGGTCGTCAGATCTCGTCAGTTACTTCAGCTATCAGATGTGAACTTGTCGAAATGTCGTTTCAAAGTCCTCTCCAATTCTGTGCTGTCTCTTGATCTCAAAATCAAGTCTTTCAAAGGCACCAAGTCACCCTATGTCACCCTAATTGATACAAACGGCACTGAACATGATGTGACGTGATGTCGTCATGTACAATGACAATAATACGATACAGATCTATGTACTGCGCATGTGGAGGCGTGGAGAACCCCAGGAGCTATGGACACTTGGGTCCGAAGCAATGCCAGCTTGGGCCGAACGAACTAAATAACAATACAGTAAATAACGTCAAAACAAACATAACATTGGAGAACATTATTAGACAACCTCTATTCAAAACATTTCAAAACGTATGAATCCGGGTCATCTTGGATCCTCAAGGTAAACTGATGCTGTAGCTGATATCAGTGATATCCAATGATGACAGAGCTTGACAAACACAAACTCTGTCAATCCCTCATATATCGTGGTGCCCTGGGGACAGTGAGTTTTCAAATCCAGACCTCATGTACTTTTCATTGAAATTGTTCTGGGCATCTGCATCCTCCACAGGTTGGAAAGTGATGTAGTGTAGTTTGACAGCAACTCCAATCATTGCAGTCTCACAATCCCATGATCTGTACTGTACAGTTGGACGACTTGCATGCTTTGCCAACACACAATGATCCGGCCAAAGATCAATTTTTTTTAAAAAAAAAATCACAGTCTGAGTGAGATGGAGATAAATACCTAGCTTCTTTGCACGCTGCACATCTCATGCTGAGCTTATGAAGTGTATGAATCGCTCTGCATTGAATCTGATAGGTAGTATCAGAATGGCTGTCTGTGAATCGTCACTTCAAGTAATTATGTAATTCCCAATGTTGAAAGCAACGGTCCTTGGCCGTGACAGTGACAACGCACAACAAGCTGTACGTCACCACGCCTCAGCGACAAGGCTGGTCATGGATCATCCTGTCCTCAAACTACAGTATGCCCTTTCTTTCTTCGGCCTCTTTAGTTGCTTTGGAAATCACTTCCACTGCTGCAGCA